TAGGGAAAGTTGCTTTTCTGGACTCAACTTCTTAAAAGCACTTGTTGGATCAATACAATGTGATGTTCTAGAGGTAACTCGGGGTGTGTGGGTGTAGGCAGTCAGGAGAGGGAATCTAGCAACCTCTATGAGTTGGGTGGCAAGAAAGGTAATTTGAAGGGAATTTGTTCTGACAGTTCTCTCCAGCTCAGTAATTTCCTTATCCCAAATCTCAACAACTTGCTTTCTCTTTATTTCCCCTCCTTATAGCCTCTTGCCTGAAGTAAGGTATCAGCACTTAAAACATACCAACACTTGTAAAAGGTGGCCATTGCTTGAGAAGCAGGCAAGGTCTGGAAAATACAAGATGTAAATTCTAATCCTTGTGCTTAAACATTGAGCAATAATGTCCAAAAAAACCTGAGAAGCCCAAATCCTGCTGCTTGTCTTTTCTCCAGGCTCCATGCTCAAATCTAACCTCCAAACACCACTGTTTTTGAGGACAGAGTAGCCCCTGGAGTGAGGTAAACCCACTGTTATTTTTATCTTTTTTTTTTCTTTTCATTTGGGAACATCTGTAGCAACTGATCTCTGAAGCTGCTAACTTGGGGAGCAATGGATTAGCCAGGTGAGGAGGAGCACCCTGTTCATACCTGGGCTGACATCTCTCCTGTGAGGATATACCCTCCCTTGAAAATCACTGCCTGTGAGCTCTGTTCTTGGGGAGGCTACAAAGAGTTAAGGATTTTGTTTTGGATCTCCAAGGCAGCTTGAAGCCAAGTTCTTAAAAAAGTAGTTTAATTTGTTGCCATTACATTTGCCAGATGTATGACCTCACTCAACTTTTAGCAACAGTTCTTTGTGCTGAGATTGGCCCCTGGGGAGCCCAGTGCTGCTGCAAATGGCTTTTTGGCTGCTGGGAGTATGGAGCATGTTAAACAAAACCCTGATCTGTGAAAAAGTAAGAATCTTCAAGCACTGCCCACTTTCCTTCCTGTCTGGGAGCTGGAATTGAGTGGATACCACAGCAGAGCTCAGAACTGAATAGGCAAAACCACCCGAGTGCTGTGGTATTGACTCTTCTGGCTGGGAAAGGAGGTGGCCGGGAGCGTCCTCTGCCCACAGGGTCACTGCTGGACATGAGTCCATCAGCTACCTAGAAGATAAATTCCAACTATGATCTAAGGAGTTGGGCTAAAACTGGCTAGCCTTGTGGTGCAAATCACCTATTATATAACCTCTTTAAAGAGCTGCTTTTGAACAAAATGTTTTTTGAAACACGAGTGAGTGGGAGGGGAGGGAGCAAATCGTTTTGCATAGGTTTGTCACTCATGACGTGAGAGTAGGGCTGCGTTTCTTCTCTTGCTTCTAGAAATGGTTAGTCTCCAGGTGCTTCTAAAATGCTGTGACTGGATTGGATGTAGTTTTGGGATGGAAATGCAATGGGAAAGAAGATTCTCTTATTGCTGCTCATTTGCATATTTAACCTGGATTTAGTGTGCTGTAGGAAGTTTTACGTGTGTCTCCGGGAAAGCTGGGATCTATTTCTAGCTCTGCAACAGAACTGCCACTGCAGGCAAACATCACTCTTCAATCCCCTGTTCTCCTTGTCAGGGGAGATGCATATAAATTACTTCCTCTTTCGAGGTACAGGTTCAGTCTCATTAGAGATTTGAACGCAGTGTGTCAGGGAAGAGGGAGGTAGGCTCACTTCTAGAGCACACAGGTCTCTTCCATCCTTTAGTTTCTTTCTGTCTCTTTGGTGGACGTGTGCTGAGAACCTCTCTGTTACTCTGCACAGGTGCTGGCTGCCCCTAGGGCTTCAGGTGGAGTTGGAAGTTAACTGGTACCACTCCCAAGCAAAGACTGGGGCTCCATGCATGTTGGGAGAGGGTGCTCTGGGTGGTTTCCGGTGGGGGATGAGCATCAGGAACCACTGGGAATGTTCTGGCAAAGGGTAACTCATGGCCTGCATAGCTGCAGCTGAAACAGGCCAGGTGACTGCTTGAGGCCACGAATTTGCCATCTGCAAGGAAGCCTTTCCCCAGTGGCCAGCCTTAGATTTCTTTATACTCCCTCCAGCCCTTCCTCCCTGATAATGCAACACAGCTGGAAACGCATCATTTTGTTGTCACAAACCAGTTGGGCTGAATCAGCACCATGACCCAGTGCCAAAACCCTGTCACCCCTGTTCTCTGTCACTGTTTCTGCTC